CAGGCTTTTCTCCTCACGCCCCGTCAAAGGTCCAATCTTGCTAACAGCAGCATTCACCAGGTCAAATGAGTAGAAGAACTTTCTCCTGCCTGATAGGATCACCTCAGAGCCATCAGGTAGAAATGAGGCCTTGTGTACTGGACAGTCCCCAATAAATATGCTCTGGATCTTGGGGTTTCTCTTTCCATCAATCTGGAAAAACCTTAGATGCTTGTCCAAACCTGCAGCAAGCATCAGTTGCCCATTCCTATGAAACTGCACTGAATTGATAGGACCACTTGATGGATCCTGGATATTGCCATCAACGAGCCTTGAGAACTCTAACATCCCAGGTAAGAGCCTGACAGTATCCTTGACAACAAGCTCATCGTTATTCTGAAGGATATCATTGACACAACCTTCATCATCGGACTCACCATCTGACGCGACAGGAAGAGAAGTTTTCCGGTCCATATCAGCCCAGCCAGTGAAGGGGTTCAATTTGGCATGCTGACCACGGAGCCTGGCCTCATACTCTTTCCCTGAAATCAAATGCTCATCTTCCTCTTTTCTTAGCTTCCTCAACCTTGAAACCTTCACGATGTCCACTTCTGTCCTTTCTTCCTCCTCATCCACCCATACAGGCTTCCTCCCCTTGATACGCACCACGTCGTCCTCATCCTCATGGGCCATATCCTCCTCATATATAGGATGATCCACACCACCACCAGCGGACCTATCTGTGAAAAACAAAGGCGCATCCCGGTCAGGAGCTACTACTGCAGCCCCTACCTCAGTGCCAAACTCCAGTGGTGCATAAAGGGAACCAAACAATGAGCTCTCCAGCTGCCTCATCTCCTCTTCCTCTTTGCTCTGCTGGGACTCCAGCACCTTAGTCCTTTTCTTCTTCCTTTCCTTATTGTGATTCTTCAACTTTGCTTCCTTCCCAACCTCTGCATCTATGGAGCTCGGTGAGCCAATGTCCTCATCATTGCCATCATCAGCTTCACTTTTCCTGAGGCGGCGCTTCTGGACCGCGTTCTGGGATATCAAGCTCATCTTTCTTGGAGAATTAGTCTACCAAAACAACAAAATCCTGTCAAAATAATCACAATAACATAAATGCATACAACTTCTAATAGTTACACATTACGATACAAAAGCTACAAAAGATCAGTAGCATCATAAACTGAGACATGCAAAACAATCAATGTTGCACACATAGATAAAGTACAGGCTCCTGGATCCTATGTATAAACTATAAACTACTATGCATCAAGGATAAATATACATGTAATGGTATAGGGAGGATATGGATACTGCATTTTCACACACAAAGTTTTTTATAAATAAATAATAAGGCATATTAAAAGCAGTAGCAACATAGCATTAGCATTAAATTGCCCTTCATTCTTGCATTGTGCCATTTTGCTCATCTTTTCTAGATTTCCAATAAGCCTAACACTCCAGCAGCCAGGCAACCTGCTGTAGCTGCTGGCTCCCCCTCCACAATCAGACCAAGTGACCAGACAATTTGACTACAGGAGAGGGGGTAGGAAGGGAATACAAGAGAGGGAACAGAGAATAAACTGGCCGTGGACTTGCAGGTACTAGATGTGTAGTTCCTGACTCACAAACAAACAGGACCTCTAGAACTCCACTCTCTAAACGTCTAAAGGAGAGTTATGAGTAGTTTCTCTCAAAAAGCGCATCAGATTGGTCCACAAAACTAGATAATGGATAGTTCAGAGCAAACATGACTGGTGTAGTAGGACCATGACAACAATTAGTAGTTTGATATGATTGTAGATGAGCAAAATAACATGATCCTACTATACAGCTTGACATATCAGGAGATCAAGAACCCAAAGAAAGAAGTCTCAGTCTATCTCAACAACACTGCATGATGATAAGATGAATGAAACATTACATAAACAAGTCCAGACAATGAGCACAATCAGTAAGACATCATGAAGTTCAGAGCATGCAATAAAATATCAGCTACTCAATTGGGAGCGGGTTAAAAACAGTGTTAAAAAAACGTAGTTAAACGCTCGTTTAGGCGCGCTTAAGCACTAGGCGGAGGCCTAACGCGTCGCCTAGGCCCTAGGCGTCCAATTAAACGGAGGCCTAACGCGTCGCCTAGGCCCTAGGCGTCCAATCAAATGTCGCGTGAACTGTCAGAACTCATGGATGGTGAAGAAAGGAAGAGAAGAGACAAGATTAGGAAGGCAAAATGGTTTGTGGCACTGCGATTCCACCTGTGCCTACCTCGTGGTGTCCAAGTCGCTCGATTTCGCACAGGTGAAGAGGTAGAGCTACGGACAGGGACGCACAAGTCGAGGAGCGGCGGTGCGCAGGCAGAGGAGAGCAGAGGAGCGGCGGCGCGCAGGCAGAGGAGCAGCGGAGCAGTGGCGCGGTCTCGTGAGAGCGAGGATTCCTAGGGTGATGGCAGCCTGGTAGGGCATCGTTCGGTGTTCTAATGTTTAGTGAGCTAGTGAGCTTCCTCCCTTACTGGGCCGAGTTGGCTGTTATGGTATTGCTCTTCTTTTTCTATTTATTCTTTCACATTTATGCAACTAAAATCTCCTGAAATGTAGTTAGTGTGTAAACGTTTAATCGCGTTTAATCTACGTTTAGGCACCCTAGGCGTTAATCAGTGGCTTAGCGCCTGCCTAGCCCCTAGCGTAACAAATACCCAGTGCTAATGTTTATTAAGATTATATTTTCCAAAACATAATAAACAAAAAAAAAGACTGCGATTTGCAATCCTATGGCTAAAAAATGAAAATTCTACTGTGTTATTATGCTTGCTTGGCATTGGTTATACTTGACATCACAGCTATTTGAAAGTACCGATAAATCTTTATTATACAAGAATGAAATGGCTGAGAACAAAACTCTCTTCTGCACAGTAAATACAATCTCTGGAGTGCATAGCAACATGGTAGGAAACTCAAATGCAGGCACCAATTACAGGAAACATCTACTTAATCAACAGGCCAGAATTTAGAAAACTAATTGTTAAAAACAGAAAAGGTGGTGGAATGCATACATAAAGGCGACCATAACTAACTCAAATGTGCATTTTCGCTTCGCAGTACTAATAATCAAGAGAGAAACCAATGCCAAGTGTTTCCACCAAAAAAAATGCTAAACGGGACCTGTAAAATGCTAAACTTAACATTGTCACCAGTTCAAAAGAGTAAGGCAATACAGTGCCAGACACCAACACAATCCTAAGTCCTGACCATGGGCACGGAGCAAATTCGCTACTAGAACATGTGACCCTTCCCACCAAACAGAGCTCGAGATCTCCTGGTTCACTGCTACGTAAACAGAATTCAACCCTTCTGAACCATGGCTGGGTATTTGGGCTCACCTTCAGAGGACCGGAGGAGGATGCGGACGGCAGGATCCGTGCAGGTGCAGCAGTGGGGCGATAGAGCTACTGCCGGGAGAGGAGAGCGTGCGAGGCGCGAGCAGCGGCGGCGTGCGGTGCGGGGATGTGGACGCGGCAAGCGGAAGGGGCTAGGGTTATACCGTCCGTGGGCTGGGCCGGCTGTGGCAGCTTTCGTGGGCTAAATTGATAGCTAGACAAGAAATGTAGCTGCTCGAACTGATCAGCCGTATAGTTTTAGCGAACAAATGAGCATCAGTCATTTTTTCAGCCAACCGAACAGGACCGTAATCTTTCTCCGAGCCATGGGTATCGGCGAGCGCGGTCACGAGCGGCGGATCGGCGAGAGCGGTCGTGGTCGCGGTCACGGGCTGATAGAGAAGACGGGGATTTGGGATTAGATGGTGGCGAAGGCGGCGAGGGCCTGGGTGTACGGCCACGATGGAGCGAGCTTGAAAGATGCGAACAAGAACAAGTCAGACCCACGGGGTTAGAGTTTTTATATGTAAATGTAACTATATTATATATTACGTGTACAATTGCGATATAATATAAACTGGATGAAAAGAACCAGTTATCCAAATTTTATTGGATATTTAAAATGGCACACGTCTTCATTTTTCTTTTAATGTGCTTTCACTCTTTGGACCGTAGACCGGTAATGACTATAATATGTACACCAGGGTGACTAAGGTTTTGAGGTGAGGATCTCAAAGAAATAGGTGGTTCAAAACCAATATATGAGGCTGTATCTAATGTGGATCATAAAGTTTCTTTCCTAATTTGAGGTAAAAATTTATTTTAGTCATGTAGGTGGTCTCCATGAACGGAGCCAGGGGGTACATCTATGGATGAATTGATGATGCACCCCAAGGGCTGGGTCGCTTTGTTGGTGGTCATGGTGTTGCTGAGATTTATTAGAGACAGCAGAAGCACAATGTGCAAACTAACGGCAGTGGACTCTTTTTATTATGTAAGCTGAGCTGACTTTGAGTAGCTTTGCATGTTTCTATTCAGAGCTAATTAGGTATTGGCATGACCAGGAAAAATTAGCACATACATGCGTGCAAGTTAGTACAACATACAATCAGCGTAGCAAAATGCAAAGGCAAAAATAATATAAAAAAAAGCACGCCAGAAGGTCAAGGTCCATTATCATCTGATGAAGAGTTCAGAGAAATAACGACATATGAGTCAGTTCGAACATCCTCTGCGTACCCGGACACTGCGATGCTCCAGGAAAATACATCGCTGGAACTCTCGATGGCACTACGCTATTATTCTGAAGAGGGACAGGCGCGGGGCTGTTTTAATGTTTTATTACATGACATCCTGTACATTACTGGTGGAGGGACCGACCTAGTGAAACAACAATCGCCCCCAAATGGGGCGAGGCAGTGGAGCTACGACGAAACGCGAAATCAAAGCCCCAACAGTTAGTGGATAACATGTTCCAATTGGCTATTGTTCCTTTTCTCTCAATTTTCTAGAGCTTCAGAAACCAACAGAAAGCTACTGCTGTGCGGGTGTATGGGGGAAGTGCTTGATCCAACTTTCCCCGGACACCTAATGTTTACTCCCATACAGGATTTAGGTCTTTAGGGAGAGACAGGTCTAAGGTTTATTTGGGACGCTTGCGGTAAGGCTGCATCATATCACCCACGGTGTCTTTGATGTAGGTCCCAACTTTATTCAGGTTCTTAGCCACACCATTTGCCACAAGTCCTGCATTCCTCTGAAATCTGCAGGTTCAAAGACAAAGTTGTTGAAATGCTAATATGAATTTCAGAACCTACAAATTCATACATAAACCAAATACCAACTCACTTAGTTAAGAAATCATCTCCCGCATGCCCTGGTTGCCCTGGTTTGTAATGACGTGGTTTTGGAGCTGTGGAATTGTAAAGATGAGTAGAAGTTTTGAGAACAGAAACAATGTGAATCCTGCAGGCAGATAATTACAAAATAATGCAAGAAAGAAGCATGTTTCAACGCAAAACAGCAAAAGTAATGCTTAAAGCGCACAGGAGACATAGACAAGATACATGGTAATCAGATATTTTTCACAGTTTCACCAATGAAGCATGTAGTTTTAGGACCAAGTTTCTCTAATCCTAGATTGCACAGAAAATAAGCCCATAAAAACTGGCAATGGGTATAGTGGCAAAAACATGTGAGGAATTAAGTTTAGATACTACTAAGAACTAATCAAATACTACTAAGCACTGATCGAGTTAGTTGATACCGTGACTAGAAGGCGTGTAAATATATTATGCGTGGCGAAGAAGGTGGATAATACAGGTTTCAAGCTTTGGTACACAGGGACAGTCGCGAATAGAAATGGAGTAGGAGTTTTGATTGATAAGAGCCTCAAGAATGGTGTGATGGGAGTGAGAAGGCAAGGAGATAGGATTATCTTAGTCAAGCTTATCGTTGGTGATATGGTGTTGAACGTAATCAGTGCGTATGCCCCCAAGTAGGCCTCGACGAGAGTGCTAAGAGACAGTTCTGGAAAGACTTAGATGGCCTGATTAGAGCTGTACCTAGTAGTGAGAAGCTTTTTATTGGAGGAGATCTTAATGGGCATGTAGGTACTACAAGCGCAGGTTTCGAGGCAGTTCATGGAGGTTTTGAGTATGGTAGCAGGAATCAGGAGGGGGAGGAAGTTCTGGACTTCGCGGTAGCTTTTGACTTGATGATAGCCAACACTTTCTTTAGAAAGAGAGAATCTTATCGAGTGACCTTCAGTAGCGGACAACACTCTAGCCAGATTGGCTTTGTCCTCGCAAGAAGAAAGGACAAACGGGCATGCTTGGGTTGCAAGGTGATACCAGGGGAGTGTGTTGTTTCTCAACATAAGCTTTTGGTGACACACTTTTGTTTTCAGGTGCGTGCCCATAGGGATAAACAAGCTAAGATTAAAAGAACAAAGTGGTGGAAACTGAAAGGGAAGACGTCAGAGGTATTCAGGGAAAGGGTTATCAAAAATGGCTCTTGGAAGGAAGAAGATGATATAAACAACATGTGGGAGAAGATGACAGCCAACATTCGGAAGGTGGCATCGGAGGTGTGTGGAGTAACCAAAGAAAGTGGAGGCGAGGCTAAAGATACTTGGTGGTGGAACGAGAAAGTCCAAAGGGCTATTAAGGAGAAGAAAGAATGCTATAGACGCTTGTACCATGACAGGAGTGTGGACAACATATAGAAGTACAAGGTGGTAAAAAAGACTGCAAAACGAGCTATAAGTGTGGCAAAGGGAGCGTACGAGAATCTTTACCAACATTTGAGTACGAAGGAAGGAGAGAAGGATATTTATAGGATGGCTAGGGTTCGTGAGAGAAAGACAAGGGACTTCAACCAAGTTAAGTGCATTAAGGATGAAAGGGAGCATCTCTTAGTGAAGGAGGATGAGATATGGCAAGAGTATTTTGACAAATTGTTCAATGGTGAGAATACGGACACAACCTTTTAGTTGGATGACTCTTTTGATGACACCAATAGACGCTTTGTGCGGAGAATCCAAGAATCTGAGGTCAGAGAGGCGTTGAAAAAAATGAAAGGAGGTAAAGCGATGGGACCGGATGGTATCCCAATCGAGGTGTGGAGATGCCTCGGAGACATAGATATAGTATGGCTAACCAAGCTGTTCAACCATATTTTTCGATCGAACAAGATGCCTGACGAGTGAAGGAGAAGTATATTGGTACCGATCTACGAGAATAAAGGGGATATTCAAAGTTGTACTAATTACCGGGGAATTAAGTTGATGAGCCATACTATGAAGCTATGTGAGAGAGTTATCGAGCATCGCTTGAGAGCAATAACGCGAGTCTCTATGAACCGATTTGGTTTCATGCCCGGAAGGTCAACCATGAAAGCTATTTTCTTAATAAGACAAGTTATGGAGCGGTATAGGGAGAAGAAGGACCTACACATGGTTTTTATTGACATGGAGAAGGCTTATGATAAAATACCAAGGAATGTTATGTGGTGGGCTTTGGACAAACATAAAGTCTCACCGAAGTACGTCAGGCTCATTAAGGACATGTACAACAATGTTGTGACTAGTGTTCGAACAAGTGATGGAGACACGGATGACTTCTCGATTAGGATAGGACTACATCAAGGGTCAGCTTTAAGCCCTTATTTGTTTGCCTTAGTAATGGATGAGGTCACAAGGGACATACAAGGGGACATCCCTTCGTGTATGCTTTTCGCAGACAATGTAGTGCTAGTTGATGAAAGCCGAACATGAGTGAATCAGAAACTGGAGTTATGGCGGGAGACTTTGGAGTCCAAAGGTTTTAGACTCAGTAGAACTAAAACTGAGTATATAAGATGTGACTTCGGCACTATTACTCGGGAGGAGGAAGATATTAGTTTGGAAGGTCAAGTAGTGCCCAGGAAGGATACCTTTCGATATTTAGGATTAATGCTACAGAGAGACGGGGATATTGATGAAGATGTTAGCTATAGAATCAAAGCAGGGTGGATGAAGTGGCGCCAAGCATCTGGTGTCCTATGTGACAAAAGGGTACCACAGAAGCTAAAAGGCAAGTTTTATAGGACGGCGATTAGACCTGCTATGTTGTATGGTGCAGAATGTTGGCCTACGAAAAGACGACATGTTCAACAGATAAGTGTCACGGAAATACGTATGTTGCATTGGATTTGCGGTCATACAAGAAGGGATCGAGTTCGGAACGATGATATACGTGATAGATTAGGGGTAGCACCAATTGAAGAAAAGCTTGTCCAACACCGGTTGAGATGGTTTAAACATGTCCAACGAAGACCTCCAGAGGCATCGGTGCGTAGTGGAATCCTAAGCCAGGATAGTAACGTGAAGAGAGGCAGAGGAAGATCGAAGTTGACTTGGGTAGAGGCAATAAAAGGAAACTTGAAAGGATGGAATATACCCAAAGACTTAGCCTTAGATAGGAGTGCTTGGAAAACAGCTATTCTAGTGCTTGAACCTTGATTGTTTCTGCTGGGTTTCAACTCTAGCCTACCCCAACTTGTTTGGGACTTAAAGGCTTTGTTGTTGTTGTCGTTGTTGACACATTTTTTCCATGTATTAGTTGACTATTGGATAAATTCTATTTTTCGTCAAAATAACGGTGATTTCTCCACGCAGGTGCAATAAAAAGAACAAGGATTTTCAAGAAGGCAACATTATGTATATATTTTACAGTTTAGTGGCTGATCTCTTAAGGTTTCATACCTACTGCAAATGCATCATAAATCAGGATGCCATTCTAACTAAAAATTGAATAGCATTGACAGTGTATTTCAGGTAAAATGCACGCGACGGTAGATTGATCAACTAGAAACTAATATATTTGAATAAGCAAGTGTGACACATTAAGCACCTCTGTCCATGACCAAACATTCGAACTTTTCGAGCATATTGTGTTAGCTTTGCAGTTGCTAGGAGCCCAGCACACACACTAATCAAATAACAGAAGAAAATGTTTTCTTACCTTCTTTCTTAACATTTGTTGGGACTTTTCTATCTGCCAATAGCTGGAAAAGGGGAAAAGATATTCTTTGTTAGCAAAATAGACATGTGAATGATCATAAAACACAGTTTAACTTGTAGCTACAAAACACTAGCTGTGCAGGTTGAACAGTCGGTGCAGAATAAATCTGGAGGAAAATCAAGAACAAATTTCAGAATAGAATGACCGCATTTGTTTGTACTGTGGTCGAGAAAAGAAAAGCTTGCATGATTATTGTAATAAACATATAATTTATGAAGATAACAAATTGACATGAATATCCATCCCACCATTCTGACATTCAACATAACTAAAGCTCAATTTTCTCATCAGATCCTGAGTAATCACAATCATCTCTGGTACATCAGCTATCGTTGGATACTGTTCACACTTAACAACATCAAAGACACCATTGTGCCTAACTGCTTCCTTATCCATCATGTCACTCTGACATGGTCCTGACTTGTGAATGCATCATAAATGCATAGGAATTACATGGTTAAGCAGATATTACCTCGACTCCAGTACAAACAGGTAGCTGCGCACGTGCCTTATCTCGTATCCCCGTAGGAGTTTCCTTGTCATCTAAGTACATTGAATAGCCAACACATGCATGTCTGAAATCTGCAAGATAGCGACCTTCTTGGATAGCTTCCAGTTCAAGTTCTCCAACCATACGCTCAGAAACTGATACACAGTTAAGAGGGAGGGAATAGTCAGTCAATCAGTTAAAAAGGAATGGAATCAGATAACAAAATAGACAGACCATGAAACGGAGTTCAAGAGTCATACTGCTCTCCTTACTTGATTAGACAATAAATCAAGTATATATGTTATAAACTTATAATAGACACAGATAAGGATTACTTTTGCAGTGAGTCACAGGATGAAAGCCTTAGCACAATGTTACAGCACAGATCAAAGTTTAGATTGTTTATAACCTACGCTTTTGGTCGGTAGCAAACTAGCACTAACAACTGCACAGGAGTTTATCCATGAATCCAAGTGTGTTGATTATATTTTTCAACTCAAGGGGAGAAATTCCCCTAATAGGCCTAACCTAGTGCTGTTCGGTGGGATTATCTGAGACCCTAAGACCCTAAAACTGTACAGAAAAGCCTATATCTCCCGGAACTTTTGAGGGTGTCTAGGAGCGCACAATCCTAATAGGATGCTGCCCATGTCTTGCTGGGTCAGGATAGTACCACCATTGCCCTTCAGCCCAAAAAGTGGGAGAACCCAACAAAATTCCAAATTAAATGTCTCGCCATTGAACAAAGTCAATTACTTCTTAGTTCTTAGACGCTGTAATGAGCCAATACATAAACCCTAGCACTTAGCGTACATACAAGGGTTAGCACTAAATTGCACAAAGGTAAATACTTGGTAGAGAACCTCATGTGAGCCATATGCACCAAGCCATAGAATAGTTCAAATTTCCCATTGCTGAAAGCCTACTCATTCAGTTGCCATTTGTCAATACTCAATGCACTAACTGTAACATAGGGCTAAATAGTTTACATCTAAATCTGTGTAGATGATGGAATTAATCGGGTTTTATGGATGAAAAAGCCCTGATATTACACATTTCCTAGCACAATTTGAGACCATAAAAATTGCTAAGAAATGCCCATGTCTTCATTCCCATCTCCTAACGCCAATGTAGTTGTCCAGAGGAACCTAATCGGTATTCAGCAGAACACCCCCTGTGACAGGGAAGCGGTTCGCAGGCACTGAGTGAGCACCGAGAGGCAACCAAGAGCAGGAGCGGAGTGAGCACCGAGAGGCAATCAAGAGCAAACCACTACCCAGCGGGTCGACACTCGCAGAGGCGCAGCAGAGGGATGCAGGTAAAAGCGAGGGGGGCTTTGGATACTGTGGCTGGCCGAATCAGCAAAACCCTAGCGCAGGCAGAGAGGGTGGATACAGTAGTGTCTGAGGGGCGCGGCTACCTTGGGGAATGGCGCGGGTGACGCCGACGCAGACGGGCCCGCGCGCTCGCGACCTGAGCGCCGACGAGTAGTAGAGGCAGCCCTTGCAGGACCTCCCCTTCACCATCCCTCCCCCAGCCCCTGCCCCCGCTCCCGCTGGCGCTGCCGCTCCCCCTCTCGCCGCCGGCGTGGGGGCGCCCGCCTCCCCGGCGGCGCGCTCCATGGCCGGGCCACGGGCGGCTGAGGCGCGCGGCGTCGGGAGAGGGGTTGCGGCGGAATGGGCGGATCGGCAGGCGGTGGCGGCGTGAACTTGAACAGAAATGGAAAACGGCTGCGCTTGGGGAGGACGAGGAGGCGGCCTTGGCGTTTGCTACCTGCCAAGGTTTTACGCCACGGTTTCCAGACGAAACTGACCCGTATGGCCGTATTGGCCTTTTGGAAGCATGCGCACATTCGAGACACACTGCCCACGGCCACGAGCACACACCTACGGCCTTGTTTCGATGCGTTTATCTCAATTCATACGGGTAGAAGTGAATTAGAGTAAAATTAAATTAAATTTTATTTTATTTCACTTCAACATATATAGATTGAAGTAGATACATATGTATCTAAACATGGCCTACGATGAGTTAGTCTCATCAGCGTCAATGAGAGTTTCACGCGCATTAAAAAAGTCGAGGTGCCATAGTTTAAATAAAGAGAGATGAAAATAGTTTTATTGGATGAAATGAGTTTTATGAGAGATGAAACTTGTTTACACTATTTTCAATACCAGAGGGTCTTAGAAACAGAGCCATGAAACTCCCACTGACTGGCCTAAGTTTGCCAGGTGTTAATAGTCACATGTCTGTCGAAGAAAATACTCCTTGGTTTTCATGCCGAAAGTTTAACGAGATTTGTAGAAAATATGTGTAATATTTATATCTCCAAATAAATTTATTACAAAACTAGATTCAAATGTCTATCTAATAATATTAATTATGTACCGTAAATATTAATATTTTTATTTTTTTATCAAAATTATTTTATATATATATATTTTTTTTGTCAAAGTTATTTTTCGAAAAGCGAAAACGACGTATATTTAGGGATGGAGGGAGCATGTGTTTCGTGGCCATCTTTCGGGCAAAGCTGGCGTATAATTAAAAAAAAATCGGACGAAGTCGGTTCTTCCATCATCCATCATCAACAAAATAATCTCTCTTAGCTGACAATATGGTGTCATCGCTGCGTGCCTAGCCAAGCCCGTGACTTCTTTTCTTAAGGTGTTAGTGCCCGAACGTCCGGATAGACGCGTGCAAAGCCTGCCTTCGTCCACTGATTTTTTTCGCCCCACATGCGCACCCCGCCCTGTCACAGCGTCTGCGTGTTTAGAGGACTCGCCTCGCACTAGCAACCTGCCCTATCTGCCTCGATTCGAGGTTGTTCGCCCCGCACTCGCACCCCGCCCCCATCGCGCCCCGACTGCCGGCCCCAAACTCGCCCCGTTCGTTGGCCCCCAGCTCGCCGCGCCTCATTACCCGGTGTCCGCGCCGTGCCACCATCACTCCCCGCGCATCCTGACTCTCCGAACAACATGAAAGATGTGCAAATATTAAACACTTGAATGCAACATACGTATGCAACAAATGAAACATCTGGAACATACACTTGTAATATATGTGTGAAACATATGCAGCATTCAGATAAAAACACTTACAACTTGCAACATAAAAACACTTACTGCAACATAAGACTGAGAGTAGCTGAAACATTTGGAACATATTGTTTTGCAACATATGCAACATTCAGATCAGAACGCTTGCAACATACATCTGGAACAGATGAAACATTTTGAACAAACATCTAAACTTGCAACATACGTCTAAAACAGTTGCAACATATACAGCACCCCACTGATCTACTTTTGCAACATCCATATGAAACAATAGCAATATACCACTGAAACGTCTGAAACACTTAAAACATACACTTGCAACATGAGTTTTCATCGCAACATCTCCTTGCTGAGGTCGCGCATCACGGCGGCCATGGTGTCGACAGTGGCCACAACCTTCTAATGGGGAATGGCGGCGTCGGCACCACCATAGCAACACCTCGATGCGCGCGAGGGACGGGGCACGGTGGGGGATGGAGCGCGGCGCGACGATGGAGATGACGCGGCGCTGGATGGGGGAGCCGCATGGCGCGAGATGGGGTGCGCGGTGGGGAAGATGGCAGCAACGAGCGCGCGACGCAACATCATGCGATAGGGAGACATTTTTTAGAGAGAGATGGGGAGACGCAAAGAGTAAGCAGGCCAGTTGGGCTAGTATGCGCAGGCCCGAAAAACGACGTCCGCACTGATAGACGCCCGCTCCTAAGCATTATCGTTATTTTTTCTTCTTTTGATGATGACCATTGTGGACATAAATATAATATCAGGAATGCTAACTTCTGAGCGCGCACGCTCGGAAGTCTCGACGTGCACACCCTCTCTATTGTGCGGTTGCAGGGGTGTGGAAGTCCGATGGGCCTTCTTCCCCAACGCGTCCGAGCCGCATCACACCGGAGGCCTCACCCGACCGTGCCTTCTCCAACTCTGGCGGCGCCTAGTGTTCCGGCGAGCCATGCTAACCCTTCTTCTCCAACTTCAACGGGTATAGAAGGGGCCGGCCAGGGAGGTAGAACGGTCAGGCGGTAGGGATGGCCGGTGGGCAGTTTAGGGGAGTTGACGGCGACAGTGGCGGCCGGGCTAGGGCACGCCATGGCCAGACTTCACCATGGCCACATGTGGGAGGGTGGGGGAAGGGTGAGGGGGAAAAGGAGGTCACTGCCGACAAATAGGGTTTCGCCGGAGCTCCATGGCCACGGCGGGCCGGTGGGCGCCGGGGCAGTGGGAGGTGGTGGGGGCGGGGACAAGGGTGACGGTGAGGGCGCATCGCCAGATCTAGAGGCGTGGGGGATGAGGCGACGGGTGTAGTTTGTCCGGAGTCGGACGGGGCGAGGAAGAATGAGACGAGCGGGACCAGAAAGAAGGGGGCGAGGAAGAAGAGACGTGCGTGCGGCACTTTATCCGTGTGCGCATGTGGTGGGTAGCACTGCCCATATAATATATGAATGTCTTTTCCATGAAAAGACGTCAAAAGAACAAAAGGACACGCGCATAACTACTGTCTTTAGACCGTCTCCAACGGCAGGAACGCAAACACGAGACCTATCCTAAGATTTGAGTCACGTACAAGAAAGGGTCACACACCCAAAAATCTTCCTTCTCCAATAGCGAACCCAAAACAAGACTCCTAGTTTCCTCCGTCCGGTGCCGCTTGCTCCTCCGTCTTCATCTTCCCCGCGTTGTGCAGAAGAGCAGCGAGGGAACGAGCGCACGACACTCAAGCGCTCAGAGCTGGGTTCGCAACACAGCCGCCAACCACGAACGCTGAAAGCATGAACAGGATGGACTCATACGAACAGAAGAAGGGAAAGGAAACGGGCGGCCAAGAGAATCGACGAAAACCGAGCCAAATCAAAACAACTCGGCCCCAAATCTCGCACAGGTGATCCCCATGATGTTGGTGAGCTATCCCAGCAGAATCATGGCTCGAACCCAACTCAAACTTCGTTAATTTCAGATCACAGCCAAGAACGCAAATCCTTCCCGGAAACGAAAAACAGAGCACAGTGAAGAACGAAAATCACAAGCAAGAATGATAAATCCCGGAGGAGAAAAGGAGGATTTGGGCTTCCATTCCCACACCAAATCATAGCAAATACACCACAAAAATCATAGGTTTTTTTATCTCTCTCAAGAAACACTAGAAGCACTACCACGGGGGTCCGCCTGCGTGGGGGGTGGGAGGAAGGGAGGGGGGCCGGCCGTAGCAGGCGCAGGCGCCGCCGCGTCGCTGCTTCGGGAGGGAAGGGAGAGAAATGGAGGGAAGTTAGAGAGAGGGAGAGAGATGCGAGGGAGGAGCGGAGGCAAGAGAGAGGGGAGGGGCCGCCGGTGGTGCTGCGCCGGCTGCTGCTGCTGCCGGGAGGGGGCGCCGCGCAAGCCGCCTCCGTCCCCACCGCGAGCGGCACCTTCGACGTCTGGCTTCAGAGATTTGCGTCGTCTCTCTCGACACGTTTATTTGCGTTTCGGTTCGGTTCGGTTCGAACGCAAAATGCGTCCTCTGTTTGGGTCCTCCATTGGAGCGTGATTTTGATACACTGTAGATGATCTATTTTGCGTTTAGGTTGTGTTATCAGAGACAGTCTAAGCGCCTAGGAACCCCGGCCTCCTCCGCATTCCACGCAGGTGGCACTGTTCATCCACTGTTTCATTTTTAATTTGTATTTTTATTTTCCCTCCCCTTCCACAGGCACTGTTCATCCTCTGTTTCATTTTTTATTGCCCCTCCCCTTTTCACATGCACTGTTCATCCACTGTTCCGTATTCTATTTTTAATTTTTTGGTAGTTTTTTTTTCTCTCCTGTTTCGTAGAATTTTTTTCTTACTAAAAAACAGGCGTACCGTTTAATTGATGGAGGTTAGCATTATTTTCAAATCTAGCTACAAACCAAACACTTGCAACATATTTTTACCAAACTTTAGCAGCTCTTTGTGGCCGATGGAAATCAAAATACCAACCATACTCAATTTTGCCACGATGGATTTGGAAACTAACCAAAATGTTACGACTAGTTTTAGTCGTGATATTATGTGTCCAACGGTCCACTAAACAAAGACGCTCTAGCTAGTATCCATCCCAACCTCGCTACCTACATCGTGTCCATTCCTGGGGTGGAGATAAAAAGAACTGGATGTCAGCAGAAAAGGCACGTTACCGGTCATCCTCGCATTTTTTCTCTTCTAACCTACCACATTAGTTGAGCCTAGATCGGTGTATATTGGGCCTGTTCGTTTGTTTGAGTTTTGGAGGAATTTGGATGGTTTGGAGGAATGCTGGAGGAATTTATGAGAGAAAAATACTGTTCCGGATGAAAAAATAAGCGGATCAAACCGGATTTAAGGGCACGCGAACGGGGCCATTATCGAGTGAACATTTGAGCCCTCAAATTTGTCTCGTTCCTTAGCAAGTTGCTAATTGATGGAAGAAGAGAAATAACTGTGATGTCCATCAACCAATGATCGAGAGGAATAGGCACAATTAATGCATACCACTGAATCAAGCGCCAAAACTAAACATACTCCCGCTGCCTAAAATACAATGTAATTATGATCTCTAAAATTTGTACTAA